GATGAACTTGGGTCAGTTCATTAATTAAAGTTGTGCCAAAAGCTATATGCGCTACTGAACAAACTGTTAGGAAGACCTTTCCGTTCCTTGCGTGGCAAGTCGAGTCGATTACCACGGGGACGGTGCAAAATTAAATCCAGATCAAATTCCGATGAGGTCTGTCGAACCTTTCAACCTTACAATGTCGGAGAGTTGAGTTCATTCTCACATCGTCGGCCAGGAGCTTGAGAAACACTGGTTTCATCGTCGTCTAAGTCAGTGATCCTACTCTCTCGAAATCGGCTCATCGGCTGAGTCGACGCTGTAATCTACCCAGCCCCAATTCGGTTTTGAGGAAGCAGGCCACAGAAAGTACGGACTTGACCTTTAATCCATTTTTCGAGGACAGCTTTATCGGTGACAATCCACAACCAGTCAGAGAACCAAAAAGAGTAGCAGTCCTTCCGCTGCGATGGAACTCACCTGGCGATATCACTGACTTCTTGTCCGAAACATCAAATGCCGCGATATTACCAATAGAAAACCCGTATCCTGAATGAATGTCAGGAAGCCCAATCGAGTGACCAACAATTCCAGGCAGAGCAGCAACGTTGCCCAATTGGCGAACAGCAGGGAGGAATCCACCAACGCCTGAAATTTTTGACATGGAATAAAACTTTCTGACACAGGTGCCCTTCTGACCGATTTCCTACTATTAATTTTGTCATCTAAAAAGCAGGGTTCAAAAAGTCGATAATGTCAGTTTCAAGTAGGCAGAAATCCGCAGCCTTTTTATACAACATATTGCAAATTGTCGTAAATATTATGGGTTTTATAAGAATCAACAAAGGAAATTAACGAGCTTATAGGCGATGTATCATGCATAAGAAGAATTTCATCAGAAACATTCAGATATTCTATCCTTACAAGGCAATTATATGCGGCATTGATACCGAAAGCGCGTCGATGCCCCTAATGGAATACGTCAGCGAAACGGGTAGAGCGTCAAAATGTGTGTAAAACTCAACTCGCCCAATTGACAATCGCAATTCTTCAAACATTTGCTGTTCGAGCTTCTTGTTCACATAAAATCGACATTCCACCTGTGAATCGCATTTTATTAAAATGGAATCAAAATTCCTGTAAAAAGTTGAAAAGCCATTTTCATTGTCTCACGTTCATATTAGGCACAAATCCTTTTCTGATTTTGAATTTACATTCCGATACTCGTTCGATGAAGGCGCATTCCTCCTCAAATGTACGAGGCATGCTATAACAGAATTCATTTCATATTTTTACCGGCATATTTTCATGCTATTGGCATTTTTACGAAAAAATTGAAACACCAATAGTTCACGAGCTCAGAAGCCAGCCATGCAAGAGCTTTCAACTTGTCCAGCCCCTTTGCACTATCTTCAAAGAAGGACCATATCCGATTCGAAAAAAGACACACAAACAATTAAATGCTCCTTAAAAAGCCCTTGGAGGGTCTCTGTGAGCGCAACCTGGATCAGCACTATCCTATTAAATCCGATCAAATGCATGAAACTTATTCCAACTACTAAACAAGAATGGACTTTGGAACGCAGAGAGAGAGAGAGAAATAATAGAGAGGGAGAGAGAGAGCAGTCTCAGCTAGAACTGTGAACATCGTCTTCAGCGCGCGGAAAATTGTCTTTTGTGTTCATGAGAGGTAAAGCTGTTCAAACAGCGCCGCGGCATGAACTGTGAAGCACTTCGGAAGTTTTATGATTGAGCTGTGGTTCTAATTAAGTAATCATCCACTTATTTCAACGTTATTAACTCCTCTTGTTATATATCTCCGGCTTTAGTCAGTGAGAGGCCCTACCTGTATATAGTAAGATCCGACAACGGTTTTAAGAAGATTTCCGTACGTTTTAAGGTCTCTTGAACCCACCGATTTGACATATCCTAGTCCTTCTCATGCTCGCTTTCAATGTTGTTTGCTCTTATGTTTGAAAACTTCTCGTATTGATTGTGTATTTTTGTACATTTGTTACACAAGTTTTAGCAACAAGGTTCTTGTTATCAAAATATTACCGAATAAAGTTGTGAAGCATAGTAGGTGTTATAGTAAAATTGTGGTTTCCTTGACCGTTTACTTAACTTTTAGTCGATGCTAAAACATTGAGAAATTTCCACTGTGTCAGAGTCAACCCTGCGTTGCGCAGTTTCAACGGCCACGTTGCGCAGTTTCGCCCGATTAGACACGTTCTCTCGCGCGAACATTCACACTCGCATGCTCGAGCCGTCTGCGTCTCCGCCCATACAGCGTGCGTTGAGGATCTCTCAACGTGCCGTTGCGAACTGCGCAACGCAGGGTTGACTCTGGCTGGCTGTGGGTTTTTAACAAAACAAAGGCTGTATCTTTGGGAATACAATACGAGAATTCATGAAGTGAAGTCAGAAATTATTAAGTTGATACAAGTAATTGGCAAAGAGTAAATGAAGGCAAGGCTTTGAGTAGTTTGGATTAATACAAGTGTGCTGGGTGTTGTACCTGCAGCTACAGTACATCCATGGAGTAGTCGCTCTTGAAGCAAGGTTTTCCATTGTGTGAAGCGCTTTTTCAGAACGGTTTTACTCATGGTAAGAACATTTAAGTGGACCACAAAAGCCGAGGTAGGAACATGAGTGGACCACGAAACTTAGTTAAGTTTTTTTTCGCGAGCTGCCCCGTGAAGGCCAAAAAGTGGTAACGCAACCCCTAGGCTAGATTTTGGTATAGAGATCAAGTGCCCCATCAACAAAATTTCTGCAGTTTAGGTTGGAGCTTCAAGGTTTGCTATAAAATAGCGGCAACGCTAACTGTTTATGCCTATATTTATTGCCAAGGCTACTGCTAACCCCCTACGGCTAGATTTCTGATCGAAACCTGGTATAAATCACTGACTCCAAGCAAACTTTTTTCAGTCTGTTTTGGCCTTCAGGGGGCCTTTTAGCAAGAGTGGACCTCTGATTTGCAGCTTTCGTGGAAGCCCCTACAGCAACAAAGAACCATTCTGAAAAAGCCCTCATGCTCTGGAAGACCTTTGTTCTTAGGCAGTCTTAGCTCGGTATGTACGAGTACAATCT